AAGCACCTGGGTTTATTACATTTCTTACATCCTTTCTCTCTTACTAATGGTGGTACCTTAGCTCTAACTAAGTAACTTCTTAAATTACGGCTTGTTCTAAACGCCGTAAATGGTTCAGGGGTAAATACTTTACTATATATATATATTTAAATACTATATATATATATATATATATATATATATATATATATATATATATATATATATATATATATATATATATATATATATATATATATATATATATATATATATATATATATATATATATTTACGAGGTTGTCGTGCACTGGGGTCTAGTGTTACTACGTAAAGAGAATTGCAGAAATCGGGCAAGAAAACATACCGAGCTGGTTGAATGAGCAGGGTCAAACTGGACACGCTGTTGAATTTCAGAACTCTCATAATATAGGATTATGCTTAGTATAACTGTTTAAACAAAGTGATTTAACATTTGCTGTGTAAATAAAGTATAAACAGTGCCTATATACATACGCCTTCTCCTCTTGGTCCAGAACTTCCAGTTAAACCTGGTGGTCCCTAAATAAGAGATTATATAGTATAGAGTATAGATTTGTAGAAAAATGTTAACACTAGCATTATTTCTTAGTTACTTATGAAATATGTCATTACGGGTTATCTGGACAAAGCAAAGTAAATTTGGAAATCATGGAAGACATTGGTAAAATGAGGAGCAATTCGCTTACGAAGTTCATGTACTTAGATATGTACCACGATTCCAAAATTATCTTGCAAAGGTGATTTACGGTATAATGAAGAGATATTAGACAGAAAATGCCTCTTAAATCAAGCAGGCCCTTTGAAAGAGGTTATATAATAAATCATTAAGTCACCGGTGGTCCAGCATCACCGACGGCACCATTTTCACCAGTCTGACCAGGAGTTCCCTATAAAAAAAAAACACTGCGTAAAATATATCCGGTTTTGCTTCAGGAGTTTAAAACATAATCCTTCGAATACGCCAATGGCTGATTACTTTGTCCAATGTTGTATTGCTGCACTGTACTTTTACACAGAATTTTGAGTCGCTGTGGATGCAGCATTTTACTGAAATCAAATTTCAAGTGAAAATCCTCAAATTTTTTTGACAACGTTTATTTTAAATATTTCCAAATTGTTTAGCAGCGTCTAGAGGCATTACATATATTACTATAGTAAAAGCTTGTAAATATTGTTTTGTTTACAACTATTACGAGGGCTGAAATGCAAATTGTTTTAAAAATATTTTCGTCGATTTTTGGTCACTTTTGAATTTTTTTTGTTATGGTACATGTTAAATCGACTATTCACCTCAGTTTTGGTGAATAGCGGTTCGCGTGTTGGTGAACATCCTTGCACTAGTCACATCCACTTCGGAAAATAATTGTTAACTATTGCGCTTCCATCCCAAATTGTTTATTTTGACTTGGAATGATCACAGAGAAAATGGCACTTTTTCAAGAGCCCAACATGCGTTAAGATATACTTGGTTACTTGGAAGTGAATTTAGTCTTTGTGATTAGTGAACACAGCTTTTTCAATCATGTCTCGTTAGCGATGTTAGAATGAGATGGTTTAATTATCCGTTCATTTCAAACTTTGATATACATTGTATCCTGAAACAAAGAACTCTCCAGCACGTCTCCAAATTCATCTGCTATCAGTTGTTAAGTAGTAACTTACCGCAGCACCATCAGCACCGTTGTTTCCGCTTGCGCCTTTTTGACCCTATAAAAAATAAACATCATTTCAGGCAATTCACCACAATGATAAAACAGTGTAAAATTTGAGCATTGTATCTAACTCGAACTAATTTATAAATTCATGACGAACACCGATTCCACGATAAAAGCGTTCATAAATTAACTAGGTTTTGCGTTTTTTCCTATTCCTTTCCTAAGGGCCGTTTCGTATGCATGCCATTTGTTAACGCATATAAAATTCGATCCGGCTAGGTGAAATCTCTCCTTGTCCTAGCCGCCACGTGGGTTCGCTAGTCGTATCGACTTTCTGTCTCAATACAATTATTACCAAAGATTATTATGATTATATTTATCTCGGCTTAGTTAATGTAAAACAGCTGGTTCAGTTCAGGGGCGGATCTAGGGGTCGTCAAACCAGTCACGCGACTAACGTAAAAATTGCAAACTTAATTAAAGTCTTAAATATTCGACCAATAGTCCAGTTATTTTTTATCATGCAGCGACACCTTATAATAGTCCAGTATCTATTATCATGCAGCGCTAGCAATTAACATTCCACTCGAACTGTAGTCCAGTGATCAAATTTCATACAGTGGTTGAGCCGACGAGCTTAGTCAAGTCAATGAGCAGCTGACATACGCAAAGTCGGTCAGTCAAAAAGTCAAAATCCAGTGTTTTGATTGGTCTAAACGCTTATTGCCATGGAAACAAGCGATTTTTTGCGATTTTGACTGATCTGTGGGGAGTTCTGACCGATTTACAAAAGTCAGGGGCGCTCCATTAGTCGGAATATCATTAACATTTGACGCGTGATAAAGTCTTTCCGAGCGCGCGCTCATTCGAAGTGTCATGTTGAAATGTCTGCTGCTCCAGACTCCAGTCCTTGTAGTATTCACGAAACGGTTCAATCCGCACTTGCGGTGAATGATTTAGCTGTCTTACAAGACTGTTGCGCTGATCTTGGGAGGAAAATCAACGCTAAATATCGGAGAGTTCCATTCAGTGAGCAGTTGCTAAGCGCCACGAATAGCAGTGTATACCACGAACTACAGTTTGACTGTTTGAGTAGAAGTATTGGCGCCGAGATCTTTATTCTGAAGTGCAATAAGGTAAATTTAATGTGATATGTAAATTTTATTTCGTTTTAGACAGCATAACAATATTTATAAGCGAACAAGATGCGCTCCATGCATATGTAAAATTGTAACTTGAATACGCGTATCTTGATTTAGATTTAGCTGTGAATTTTGATTTACACAACAAATTTGCATATTTGTAATTCTGCGGTTGAAGGTCCGTCAGAACTCAGAAGGCTATTAATATGGAGGATAACCTATATAAATGCATTAATGCAGTGTACATAGGATATAAAAGTCAGGTTTTATAGCTGAATGTTAAGACTTTAATATTGATATGTTTATTTGAGTAATATGACACTGTAGTGATTACTAGTCAAGTGATCAATGACTCAACAAGGCTATTAGGCAACAAAAATGAGTGTAGTACTATCATTAGATAGTTAAACATAATACTAGCAATCCGTAATTTGATAAAATGAAACATCTTCCACAATTATCACATTTCTGCAAGTATTTCTCCTTTACTTTTCCCTAAGGAGCGAGTTGTGAGAGTCAGTCAGACTGATAGTCCATTTCATCAAGTTAATTTTTTGTTGAAGCTGCTTTCAGAGTGATGCAAATTGCGTTTCGGAGGTTTAAGAATATAAAAATTCCTTGGGGGACAGAACCCCCCCCCCCCCTGGGTGCCTCGCGCAATCGCCGCCCGCAAAACTAGATTGTACATCGGAAAACTTTGACTAACGTACGAAAATTCCTGGATCCGCCCCTGACTGTCGCTGCACTTTAATATTAAACATTCGACTGACTTCACTGTCTTGCCGGTGTTTTTTTGGCCCCATTCTTTTAATTTAATGTTAATTTAGGAAGATTAGAAAATCCGTCATCGGTCATCACACGCAAGAGTTCCACAATTTACAAATTCTGCGATACGAAGCAGGTTTTTATTTCGCTATTCATGCAGCTAGCTCTATAAGAATAGGTTGTTGCAATACTTCTTGTCGATAATACTACCACAAAGGTGACACTTGCATTCCGAAAACAAAGCGGATTTCGGGTAAATCATCTTTGGAGTTTCCTTTCGCTGTGCCATAGCTTGAGAGCTACTGTATACTGTACTTTGACTTTGTATAAGTGTGCATTCGACCTTTGTTTTGTTTGCGTTGATAAATAATGGCTCCACTTCAAGGTGTAAAACAGACCTCCAGCCATGCAAATTATATCAAGTAGGTGTAAAAAGCTTTCAAGCGCTAACATATTTCATAAAAGATAACACAAAAACCGACAAAACCCAAAATATGGGTTAATACAGAGCGTAAATGGCAGTATTTTCCATAGGCATAGTTATAGATATTTTCGTTTTCGCTCTTGAATTCCCCCTACCACTCCTCCCTAAGTGGCAAAGAGGCGGCAATTCGAATTACCCCTAAAATCTGGGGGTTCACGTGACCAGAGGGAACCAGGGTCTTCGCCGGAGCCCGAGCGCAGGTAAAAGACCCTGGCTTGCGAGGTTGTAAATTACCTTGTCACCCTTGTAAGTGAAGTTGTCTTGTTTTGTATCTTGTCAACACTTCTTTATTTAGCTAATTAGCTTGCATTTTATTTAAACTGTTTCAACAAACATGTTTTATAAAATTATGTTTGATATCTATATCCAGAAACAGTTTGAAACAGTATTGTCACGCATTCGGAAACTGTCGGCGTAATGCCGTAAAGTTTAATTTACATGAAGTACATCGCATATAAATGGTCGGAATTCTAAATCCGCGCACTACATCAGAAACTGGGGGGGCGGTCGCCCCGTCCCACCCCCACCCAGTACGCCCATGATTTTAAGCGATTTTGGGCGATTTAAAGCGATTTTAGGCGATTTAAGAGCAAGAGCTGCGAAAACAGTCGGTTCTGATTGGACATGTTCAACTGTGCGCGAACTTTTGACCTTGATACAATGATACGCCAAAGAATTAAAGATTATATTTATATATTTATTATTGACACGCGGTGCTCATAAAATGTTTCACCAATTTTTCAAGTCTGTTTATTACAATAAACAACAAGAAAAATGTCACTGAGTAAAATGACTTATCGCGAAGTAACAAAGACAACAATTATTCCAATTAATAAAGCGTTTGCTGCGTTTCTGGTTTTACGTTATTTCTACACGGCAGACTAAAGTCACGGTATAGTGTCATTAAATTAAACGCGCGCCGAAATATTTATTTGTCAATTGCAGTATAGCTGTTTAATGGTATATGTTATATGTAGCGTATAAGGGGCGGTCACGGATTCTACTAAAACCTCACGGTGAGCTCACACTCACAGCTTGTTAGTATCTCACGGATTCGCACGGATTTTGCAAATAACACAACTGGTTCTTAAATATGTTGGCTTTGTTGCACAGTTTTAACTATTAAGAGTGACTTCATTAAGTTTACTTGCGTCAAATTACATAAAACTTTTTCCTTCTGAAATACATAATCAAAACATCGCTACATGCATGCAACCTCGTGGGTATTCAACAATATGGTTTTGTTTAATATAAATAAAAGCTACCAAAACTTGTGTGTATAAGGTACAGAAGACTCTGAAAATGCCATTTCCAACGATCTAGAGACTCCATATTTTCAAAACATTTTCCGCTCGCCGTCAACCATGGTGGCGCCTCTTGGCGCGTGGGTCTCCCAAAACAAAATCTCACGCATGTTTTTCGCCAAAGTTGGCAACCATTGGATAATGCATGCAGCATGTACTGATCCACGACAATGCTCGCATTTAGTCTTTTTATTCTTAATAGACCTTCCCGATTATTCTCTTTTACACAACATCATTTGCCCTCGTTTCCACGATAACTTGTTTTAAAAGCATGTCAGGGGCAGACAAAGATTATATTCCCATGTTTTCCTGGACGAATTTGTTTCTTGCTATTCTTAGGCTCAATAACAAAGTAATTTTCAATCCTACTAAGCACAAAACATGAGTAAGTAGTTGACATCATAAAAAACAGATTCTTTCGCTTCAAGTGCCACGTGGTCGTCGGTAAAATTTAGATTTACACCCCCCCCCCCCCGCAGTTAAAAAGGTCACGCTACGCCCTTGATAATTACCTTCATTAGAAATAACACTCGCTTGTCCAAAACATCCTCAGCCAATCCATTCCTCATTCTCGAACTTGGAGTAAGATTGAAATGGTCTTCTTTTAGTCGCTCATGAATAGGGCAAGAATTACTCTTCTGATCCCAGCAATACGCCTCTTTCCAATGAGACCAATATATATTTTTACCCTCCTTTGTGAGCATTCTTTTTCCATGACTTGAACTCTTCTCGTTATTTCGCAGTTTTTTGATATTGTGCTAGGAGGATAGAAATAACATTGAAATCATTAAACTTGTTCTCTCGATTATCAATTAGGAAATATCAGTTAGAGGAAAAGATTCTGCAAAACAAGCGTGCGATATTTCAAAATTCTTGCATGAACGGTGCTATTTTCTATATACTGTTAGCAGACAAACTTTGTAGAAATACCTTGCTATCCATTATGAATATCATGGGATCTTCTGTCAACATGTTATATCCAATGAAGTGAAGATCTCTTGGATTTGCATTCGGGAATGAATGAACTGACGATTTGAATCCGCGCCATCACAAATCATATGATATATACTTTAAAGAAAAAAGGTTATAATATTAATGAATAAAATTTTATATGAAATTATTTCAAATTTATTAATGCTTGTGTAAATTACTTTATAGACAAGTATTACATAAATAGAACAAAACAATAGACACTCCGAAAATAGTTAACATTTTATTCAACGTTTCGACTAGGTTTCAGTCATCATCAGGAATGACGCTATTGAAAAATATATATTTACAAGTTAAGCGGACAAATTACGCGCTAATTAAATATCACAAGTTCCTTAGAGGCTCTAGTTCCGTGATTAAGATCCGGTTTTTGGCGGTGTATATGTAAAGACTCCTTATATAACAATAATGACCAATGTCTAGATTTATCTAAAATAACATAGTTTTGGTATATGATGGCTTCTGTGGTATGTGGATCAAATTGAGCAAGTAGTGTGTTGGGTAGGTTTAGTAGAGTCTGGTAATATTGGAAGTGTTCACATGACATAATATGTTTGTGAACTTCTGAGTTTTTAAAATTACTCAATGGCAACCGTAATTTCTGGCTATTACATAAATCCTTACGTAAAACCAGCTCTTTTCATCTGCATTACACCTTCCCAGAATTGCATGTACAGAACCGAAGGTGGACATTGCGTTGTTGGAAAATGGGTCAAAGGGAATCGGAAACCGCTATCACTTAGGAAAATGAATTGAAGGAGGTGCGTCGCCAACTGAACGGATGACTGGCCTATTTAAGAAATTATTTCTTATTCTAATGAATGCAAATACAGAGTGTATGAAAAAGAATTGTACACTTGGTTCTTTATTAATTTAATCTTAGTAAATTGATATCACACTTCGAATGTAACACTTGAACCATAGACAATCAAAGGAATGGACTGGAAACGCTAGGCAAAACGCTATGATGCGAACGCGGCATCCGTGATACGGGCTAGCACGTATCAATTCATCAGTTACCATTGACAACACAACTGTCGCTAGATTTGTTTGCAAAGTATGCACTTCATATTTCGAACCCTGCAACTATAATGTTAAACAGTTCAGTTAGGTTTTTAAAATCACCTATTTTGAACAAGCACGAGTTCCACTACCGTTCTTTACTTCTTTTTTGGTCAAACAAACCCAAAAATCATCATTGAATGCGTGCGTACTGTTTTTGACAACACAAATGTCGCCATCGCCCTGGTGTTTATGTGCATGGGCACGTATACCGTATTAATATACTTCCAATAAAGTTCAAACGATTTTTACATTAACTTGACACCTCTTATTCAAATTAAACTTTAACTAAGTCAAAATTTGTGACTTTAAAATCCTAAACTGTTTTAAAACTGTAGTTACAGGGTTCGAAGTAAGTGTATACTCGAAAAACAAAAATAGCGACATTTGTGTTTTCAAAGACAGTGCACACGCATTCAATGTTGATTTTTGAGTTTGTTTTGCCAAAAAGAAGTTTAAAAAAGCGATAGTGGAATTCATTATAGTCTATTCTTGTTCAAAATATGTAACCTTAAAATCCCAAACTCTTTTAAAACTGTAGTTAGTCGCGCAAGGTGAGCTGTTAAAAAATATATTTATTACAAAATTTGTATATCGCAGGGATTTGTGAACGTCCTAGTGGAATCAACATTACATATGAGAGTATAACTATATGCCTTAGCAGACAAGTGACAGCTTTGTCGCCAAGTTCCAGGGTTCGAAATATAACCACACAGGGAGAGATGTAATATACGTGCGTAATTGTTTTGTCAACGTTGTGAAAAACCGAAGTTATAATGATTGTTTTTATAGGGAAAATTAAAAATATACACGTACTCACCTTGGCATATATTCTCTGCATTTGGTACCGCCAAAAAATATCTTTTACCTTTGCGTTTGTTAAAAAAAAGGGAAAAAATATATGCAAAATCTACATTTTTAAAATGGCGTTGTGAAAACTGCCAAGTGAAACGATTCCTGTCAAATTATGTTTTCCACCTTTGACGGTCATTTGCAGGTCTTCCTATAAAAGTATAATCTTATTAAAATTACATAACTTTAAACAATTTGACAATAAAATCCGGTTGGACGTTATCTTAAAGAAGGTACAAATTGACACATGATCGAAATAACAAAGGAAATTAAAGTTGCAGTCGATGCGCAAACCTGAATTTTCATTTCATCTATAAAAAAACACCCCAGTAGTCATGATCTTTCAACTTTTGCCATTCAGCTTCACGCTTGCACCATGAAATCGTTTCACTGTTCCATCCTGGCTCTTGATTTACTGAATTTTTGTAATATCTAATAATTGAAATAAAAAGTGGTGAACGACATTGGTTCATTGGTAGATGCTTATGTGAGAGCTCCTTTAGCATTTTACTTACAAAAACGCCTAGCCACCCACATTTTTTTATTCCAGGAAACATTTTACCATTTGTAGAGCCTGTCGAGCCGAAAACCATCTTTAAATTTGGTTCCATTAAATTTAAAAAAAAATCGCCTGATAATATCTAGCCAGAGTAACTGAACCTTGAATGGCGGCAGTAAGTGCCCATATATATTACCTGATTAGACGATTACTTGGAAGTATAATAAATTCACGCACGGAATCTAACGCTTTCGGATTTTTGCAGTAGAGATCCAAGGAAAATCTGACAATTCTACAATCGTTAAGAAAAAATATATCAGCATTTTCCCTGAATAAGTATTATTGGCCCTTGTTAGTAGGGCGGGCACACTATTGCTTGATGCGACAAATATTTTGTCTGTATAAGTAGTACGTTGTTAGAGATGGTTCCAGTGTTTCAAATAGATAAGATGTTGCCCTACTCGAAAAACCTTTATATTATACTAGTCACATACTTAGTTGCGCAGGGACAAGCTCAATAACATATATTGAATAATGAATAATAAATTAAATTCTAGTACAGTACCTTGGATCCCATCTATATCCCTTGGGAGATTTTGTAGATAGCTGTTTTATTTGAACATCCCACAACAATCTCATTTGAGGAGGCAAAGATGTCGACATCTTTTACAACTTCTAGCAGATCAGCATGGTCTTCATCCACGAACTCAACATATTCTTCGTCTTTCAGCCTTTGAATTTTCTCCTTCTTCAACTGGCTTTTCTGATCGTGCATCTTACTTTCTAAGCCTTTTCCGTGCCATAAATTGTTGGTTACATTTAGGATGAGGAGCTTGCTGATGGCTATTGCGGTTACGCCTTTTGGTCATCCTTTTCCTAAACAATCTGAAGGCATAAGAGAATTCCTTGCATGAACATACACCTGTGGTAGGATTTGGAAAAGTGATGGAGAATAAGCAACAAGATAGTGATACAAGGTATTTCTTAATTTCTTGTGGACTTTGAAGATTTGGATTCTTGCACTTCACTTGGTGGAATTAATATTAGAATGTTAGGGTTTGTAATCCAAGTGAGGATATATACATTTTAAGACCTAACCAGGAACGACTGCGAAAAATGCAGCACAAGGTCCTCTGGTAGGAAATGAACCTACGGCCCTGCGAATCCGGTGCAGCGCTCTAACCAACTGAGCTACAGAGGCCAGCTGTTGAGCTGTAACCGTAAGTTCATGTATATATACACCGATTCGAAAAAGAGCTGTCAAAGTCTGGAGGACTGTGGCGAGTTACACGAAAACGAGGCTAGTCAGGTTAATTTTTCGCGCGAAAACTTTGAAATTGTTTATATTTTTTAAATAACATGGCCTCATCAGGTTTTGATAACTTTGACGTAGAATTAACCGAGGAGGATATTCCCGGTGCTTCCTTAGCTGGAAGAATACCTTCTAAGCTAAAGATGGACGAGCTTCGTTTTTGGTTAAAATGTCGTGGTGATTCGTGCAAAGGCCTTAAAACGAAGGCACAATTCGTAAAACGGTAAGCTTAAAAAATTCTACATGTGTCAATATGGACTCGATTTTGCGCTGTGTTGATATTATGTTTTGGTTTTTCATTGAAGGGTTGACGAGTATGTAAAATCAGGCCGCGACAAGAGCATCGTTGACCCCGACGAAAACAAGATATTTTCGAAAAGAAAAGCGAGAAAACAAACTTCCCAAGAAATCGAACTGGATACTAACGAATTGGAAAACACATTAAATACAAGTCGAGTTATCTACCCGACAAACAGTTGGTCGACTTCTCTGAGTCGTATGCCTTTATTTACTCGTGCAGAGATGAACTTGCATATCTCAAAATCTGGCAAGTCCTTCTATCCACATAGCAAAAATCATACAGTTCCAACATGTATGAGAAGAGCCAAAACATTTCTAGATGATGAATACCTAAAAGACGTGTTAGCCAACAGCGACGAGAAACACTTTTATTGTAAATGTCTGTGCTATCACAGCTTCAAAAAGAATGAACCACCGCACAAGTTGAAGGTTGCTTTGGACATTGTATCTGCAGAGGTAAAAAATGCCCAATGTTCCTGTGTTGCAGGAAAGATTGGTTTCTGTAATCATGTGTTGGCTTTAATGTTGAAAATATGCAAGTTTAGCCTTTATGATTGTAAAGATGTTTCTGAATTAAATAAAGACGATGACATGCTACCCACAGAAGCTTGCACGTCTAGTTTACAGACGTGGCACAGAAAGGGTAGAGGAGATTCTATACAGCCGCAACCAGTTATGGAAGTTAATGTAAAGAAAACGAAGCTTGATTATAACACTTCGAATTCCTCTGGTAGTCAATCTCTACGTAAAAAATCAGGCGTCCAGTGTAACTTGTTCGAAGCTCGGGCAAACTTGAGGACCCAGAAAAAAGATGAATTAAATTTACAGCAAAATCTTGAACGATTACACCCTTCGACGGCTTTAGCACAAATCATGAATGATGCTGATCATGCTGGTGATCAAGATGACTATGTGGAAACATTGTATGGTAAGAGTCCGAGAGGGTCTTATGCAAGCTATCAACTTTCCTTAACAGAGTCTAATTTCAATGTTTTCTGTGACATAAATTCTGTCTCAAGAAAAACTCTACATGATAAGGAAAACATTGACACAACCTTATATCCAATCTTTCCAATTACTGATATACCTGATTTTAAATGCCCAAACAGTTGCAGTCAATCTGAAAAGAAGTTTATCGAACAATTATGTGTTACTGAGGGCAAGCTGAATGATATTGAAAAGAAAACAAGGGCTCAAGCCCAGTCTGCAGAATGGAAATGTGAAAGAAAGTACAGGTTAACTGCCTCAAACTTTGGACTTATCACTAAAAGGAAAAGAAATCATGATTCTCTTGCAAATAACTTGCTCAATCCAAAGCCCTTTAATTCAAAGTACACAGCCCATGGCAACAAGTATGAGTCAACTGCATTGCAACAATACCAGAAATATATGCATGCAATTGGAAAACCTGTAGTGTTATTCAAATCAGGGTTTGTTGTATGCAAAGATGCACCTTTCCTTGGAGCTTCTCCAGATGGGAAAGTTATTGATGCAGGATGCAGTGAACCCTATGGTCTTGTCGAGGTAAAATGCCCTGAGACAAAATACAGGGTAACTCCTTTAGATGCCTGTTCAGATCCAAAGTTTTGTTCACATGAAGTTGCTGGAATACCACAACTCAAGCATGACCATGATTACTATGCTCAGATACAAGGTCAACTAGGAGTGACACAAGCAAAGTGGTGTGATTTTGTTATATATACTGACAAGGGACTCAGCATCGAGAGAATTAAATATGATCACCAGTACTGGATAAATATGAGAAATATGTTGCAGTCATATTACTTTGATCATTTCATCAATTTGGCAACTACTGAATACAATGCACAATAGCTTATAGCTTTGCGAGTGCTGGTCTTTTGTTTGACATAGTACGTAAAGGCACAGTAGTTCCTTTTGAGCAATGTGTTTTAGGAAGCATTTTTGTTGTCTACATTTAGTCAATTTTCAATTTGAACATTAACAATAAGTTAATTCAATTAAACCTTGTTGGCAGGTAACTAAAACAGATTGCTCAAAAGGTGCTACTGTGTCTTTAAGTACAGTGTATGTGCACTAATGTTATTTGTAATCCATGCAACACAAATAATTTTTAAATGTAGACCATTTATTTCATTTAATTTCAATAGCATTATTACATTCATAACTTTGATTCATTTGCATTTTAAATTTACAGTAATCATTTAATTATATTTACACTCAAAATATTTTATAAATTCATAAATTATTCTCAATAAATAATATATTTATAAAATTAATAATAATTATTACTGTCGTTCCAATTGAAGTGTTCCTCAAATATTGATTCAATACATTACCTCAGGCTGACCAGTTCATTTCATCAAGTTCCTCGAGATATTCATACACTTCCTGTGAAAGAGCCAATTCCAAGAATTTGATCATTCTGGTCACTTCCTTTCTATTTATGATTGGTTAGTTGCACAAACAACAAAGGTGATTGGTGCATTTAAACTATTCAACAGGAAGTTTACAATTATACTAGGAAGTGTATGAATATTTTGAGGAACTTGATCAAATGAATTGGTCAGCCCGAGGTAATGTATTGAATCAATATTTGAGGAACACTTCAATTGGAATGACAGTAAATTCATAATAATATATAACAAATTGATTAATTTACCTGAATATTTCCACACAAATACAGTTCTCATAATTTCAGAAATTATATGCTGATAAGTTTGTCTTGTGCATTGCACAGAAATGCACATACGGACCACATTTGATTCACAAGTTCAAATGAGCTAAGGGGTACTACCCCACTCCAAATCTTGTAGTTTTTAATGCGATTTATAGCCCTTTCAACATGAATTCGCACACTAGCAATTTGCTGTGTGCGGATCACATCTTCAGCACCCATTTGGGAATTCTGACCAAGGAATGGTGGTATATTCAGAGTTGTCCCCAATGGTAGAAGATCTTGTATGGTGAATCCTTTATCAGCCATGACTGTATCACCATCAACAAAAGCTTGGTCAAGGAAACCACTTCGAATCACAATCTCCCGGTCAGATATAGACCCTGTGTATAGCTGGCTTATAAAAGTAATGGCTCCACTTGGTGCTATCCCTATCAATCCCTTAAGCGTTGTGTGGTTCTTATAAGAACTGAACAGTTCACCATTCAATAATAAACTGCCCGGCATCTCACATCTTATTTCGGTACAGTCTATTATGACACGAGTGTTTGGATATTTTTCTTTAAATACATCAGGCATAGTGTCTTGCACAAGTTGCTTCGATGGCCAGAGGTTAATTTGACCAAACTTTAAGTACATAAAGTTGATCCAGGCTGTCAAACTTCTGCTTACACTGGATGATGCGACACCAAACAAGTGTGATAAATGCTGTATTGAAAAACCTCTGCGTAACCTACACAACACCATAAAATATTCTTCAATTGGTTTAAGCTTCTTTGGCCTTCCCTTCTTTCTCTCACCATTTTCCTTCTCTGGTTCACTATCGTCGATGGCAACATAAAAATCATTTGGTTTTTCCCTCACATACCTTATATTTTCCCCATGTGTCCCAGGGTTAAGGTAATTAAAAAGTGCTATAAATATATCATAGTTGGGAAATCCTGTGTAGAAAGCAATATCTTGGTCGGACGTTAGACTGTTCAAATTCAACAATGGTTCAATAATTTCGCTCTGTTTCTTCAGAATTTCGATCTGTTTTTTCATGTGTCCACTGTTCTGAACGCTTTCTTCCTGAATTAAACAAATACTCTTTTTAAGATCACAGTTTTCTTGTTGAAGGTTAGAGATTGTTTCTTTTGCATCGCGAAGGCTATCTTCAGTGTGTTTAATAGTTCGTTCCAATACTTCCTGTACGCGTTTTAAGTCTGTCAACTCTTCCTTCAATAATTCCTCGTTGTCATTGACTTTACTGGCTGTGAAATCTGCATGTGAAGAAGTACTTGGCACATTGTTGCATGTTGTGTTCTTGACGAGTGGCTGTCGGACTGCTGGTGCTTTTCGTCTCTTCGGCGATTCTAGCTTCCACTCAAACTTTGAAGGAATATTGCCTTCCTTTACAAATATTCTTCCATTTAAAGATTTCTTTAAGTCGTCACGCTTAAAATGAAGAGAACAAACCTTTGTCTTGTCATGGATTTTAAAATAGTTCCCTTCGTCGCGCCTTATTGCATGAATCCATTGTTTACGTGCAGTTTTATCTTTTGGAAAGTTGAAATATGAAACCTTTTCACCATTTGAGAGTCGGTATCCTTGCTGAGAACAAAGAGGTACACAACAGTACGATGGCATGCAACTTTAAACAACAATTTTTCCATGAAAACCTTTTATATAACTTTGTATAATTTTTAGTATTATTTTGTAAATTTCCTGACTAAAAACAACAACCTGACTAGCGTAACTCGCCACAGTGTAACTTCGTGTAACTCGCCACAGTCCTCCAGACTTGACAACTCTTTTTCGAATCGGTGTATTCACTATTATATTTGTAATATCTATAACACATCTATGATAATGTACTATTTCATAGGATGGTTTCAAATTAACCACTATTAGATAGTCCTCAGGTGCGTTAATGACTGGGTCAAAAAGTTATTAGTTTCCAGTGCCTTTTGGGAAAGTAGCGAATTTAGGCGTACAATTTCCGTCTTTTTTTTCGAACATGGCGTCGATGAGAGTGGTGTTTATTTTATATATGATAAATCGAAGATTTTGGCAAGAAACTGTTTCTGTATTAATGCCGATCGTGGTTATAGTTTGTTTAAAGGTTTGTATTCTATTTATTGGTACTGTTTTCCTGGTGTAACCTTTAAGGCTTTGTAGTTCCGCTTTGTTTTATATTATATTTCATGGCACTATAAATATTATATAAAATTCCATACTGTCATTGAAAGTCAGTATTAGGAAGGATTATAGCTTGTGTTTATACTAATTCTAACAATGGCCATAGCCCAAATTCCCTGGTCGCTAGTAAACAGATTTACTCACAAAATTCTAGGAGTAAATCATATGTCTTACCTGCTGAGAGTTGCACTTTAAAGTGAGCCAACCAGATGTCCTGATACATTCCATATAAACATATAAATTTAATAGTGGCAGTTCTAAAATCCATTCCAAATCATTCTATAATTTTTACCAAGAACCAAACACAAGACTGTGGAGACAAGAACGCTTGTTATGGCCTTGTCTCCACTTGTTTTAATACATTTAATTGAAGAATCAATTTCATATGATACAAATATTTACATCTTGTGGTGTATTCACTCATTTTGGTGCTCTTTATTAAAGTATCTAGGACTTCAAGGTCCTAAGAATGGCGAGAGCCTACTTACATTTCAGTACTATTCAAACCTATTTCATGTTCCATCAGATCTGGATAGCTATTCA